CTATAGAGAAAGTCAGAATGATTACTGTGTCATTAATATATGTATCTATGAAGTCAGAGTGATTATTGTACCATTAATCTATCTGTAGAGAAACTTGGAGCGATTATTGTAAGAGGTAAGTATGAAACTTTAGCTTGGGCTAGTTCATAAAGTTGGATTGATTACTGTGTCATTAATCCATGTAAAGAGAAAGTCAGAGTGATTACAGTGTCATTAATATATCTATCTATAAAGTCAGAATGCTTACTTTGTCATTAATCTATATATAGAGGAAGTCAGAATGCTTACTTTGTCATTAATCTATCTATAGAGAAAGTCATAGTGATTACCGTGTCATTAATCTATCTATAGAGAAAGTTGGAATGATTACTGTGTCATTAATCTATCTATAAAGAAAGTCAGAGTGATTACTGTGTCATTAATCTATCTATAGAGAAAGTCAGAATGCTTACTTTGTCATTAATCTATCTATAGAGAAAGTCAGAGTGATTACTGTGTCATTAATCTATCTAAAGATAAAGTTGGAGTGATTACTGTGTCATTAATCTATCTATAGAGAAAGTCAGAGTGATTACTGTGTCATTAATCTATCTAAAGATAAAGTTGGAGTGATTACTGTGTCATTAATCTATGTAAAGAGAAAGTCAGAATGATTACTGTGTCATTAATATATGTATCTATGAAGTCAGAGTGATTATTGTACCATTAATCTATCTGTAGAGAAACTTGGAGCTATTATTGTAAGAGGTAAGTATGAAACTTTAGCTTGGGCTAGTTCATTTTATAAGATATTATTTTACATACCTTTTTCTCACTGCTACAAAGTATTCACTGGTCTGTGGATATATTGAAAAATGTCTTGTTTTTTTTTTATCTCTCTCTCTTTAGACGAGCACAAGTGGAGAATAGTCAACATAGTCAAGTAAGTACTAGGTTGTCATGTTCAAAAATCTATTGTTGATAGAGTAAATTACTAAATTGATATAATTCAACAGTTGAAAAAGTTTATTGCCATTAGAAGAAAATAAAAAAACTCTTGGGTTTCCTCTGTTGAAAAGGTTTATTGTTGGTAGATTATAATGCAAAACTGGTAGTTTTTAACTGTTGAATAATTTATTGTTGGTAGATTATAATGCAAAACTGGTAGTTTTTAACTGTTGAATAATTTATTTTTGGAAGAGTACAGAACCAAAACTGTTTTGTTTCAACTGTTGAACAATTTATTGTTGGAAGAGTACTATACAAAAACTGATTGGTTTTAACTGTTGAATAATTTATTTTTTGTAGAATAAAATACTAAAACTGGTGCGTTTCATCTGTTCAGTAATTTATATTTGGTAGATTAAAATACCAAAACTGTTTGGTTTATATGGTTGAATGATTTATTGTCAGAAGAGTGCTAAACAAAATGTGGTGGGTTTCAAATGTTCAATAATTTATTGTTGGTAGAGTAAGATACTAAAACTGGTGGGTTTCAACTGTTCAATAATTTATGTTGGAAAATTAAAATACCAAAACTGTTTGGTTTCTGTGGTTGAATCATTTTTTTTTAGAAGAGTGCTATACAAAAAGTGGTGGGTTTCAAATGTTCAATAATTTATTGTTGGTAAAGTGCTATACAAAAACTGATTGATTTCAACTGTTGAATAATTTTATTTTTGGTAGATTGAAATACAATACTGTTTGTTTACAATTACTGAATAATTTATTGTTGGTAAAGTGCTATTCAAAAACTAGTGGGTTTGAAGTGTTCAAAATATATTGTTGGTATAATGCTGCATAAAAACTGGTGGGTTTCAACTGATAAATAATTTATTGTTGGTAGAGTGGTATACAAAAAGTGGTGGGTTTCAACTGATGAATAATTTATTGTTGGCAAAGTGCTATATAAAAACTGGTGGGTTTCAAGTGTTGAATAATTTATTGTTGGTAGAGCACTATACAAAAAGTGATGGGTTTCAACCGTTGAATAATTTATTGTTAGTAGATTAATATACCAAAATGTTTAGTTTCTATAGTTGAATAATTTATTGTTGGTAAAGTTCTAAAAAAAATTGGTGGGTTCCAACTGCTCAATAACTTACTGTTGGTAAATTAAAAAACCAAACCTCTTTCGTTTCCACTGTTGAATAATTTATTGTTGGTAGAGTACTATATAAAAACAAGTGGGTTTAAATTGTTGAATAATTTATTGTTGGTATAATGCTATACAAAAACTGATGGGTTTCAATTGTTGAACAATATATTGTTGGTAGAGTGCCATACAAAAACTGGTGGGTTTCAACTGTTCAGTAACTTACTGTTGGTAGTTTAAAAAAACCAAAACTGTTTGGCTTCCACTGTTGAATAATTTATTGTTGGTAGAGTACTATGTAAAAACTGATGGGTTTCAATTTTTCAATTATTTATTGTTGGTAGATTGAAATATTAAAACTGGTGGGTTTGAACTGTTGGATAATTTATTGATGGTAGATTGAAATACCAAAACTGGTGGGTTTGAACTGTTGAATAATTTATTGTTGGAAGAGTACTATATAAAAAACTGGTGGGTTTCAATTGTTGAATAATTTATTGATGGTAGATTGAAATACCAAAACTGGTGGGTTTGAACTGTTGAATAGTTTATTGTTGGAAGAGTACTATATAAAAACTGGTGGGTTTCAAATGTTGAATAATTTATTGTTGGTAGAGTGCCATACAAAAACTGTTTAGCTTACACTGTTGAATAATTTATTGTTGGTAGATGGAAATATTAAAACTGGTGGGTTTAAATTGTTGAATAATTTATTGTTGGTAGATTGAAATACCAATAAATTATTCAACAGTTCAAACCCACCAGTTTTTGTTGGAAGAGTACTATATAAAAACTGGTGGGTTTCAATTGTTGAATAATTTATTGTTGGTAGATCGAAATATTAAAACTGGTGGGTTTCAACTGTTGAATAATTTATTGTTGGTAGATCAAAATACCAAAACTGGTGAATTTCAATTTTTCAATAATTTGTTGTTGGTAGATCGAAATATTAAAACTGGTGGGTTTCAACCTTTGAATAATTTATTGTTAGTAGATTAAAGTACCAAACCTGTTTGGTATTTATTGTTGAATAATTTATTGTTGGTAGATTGAAATACCAAAACTGTTTAGTTTCTATGGTTAAATAATTTATTGTTCATAAAGTGCCATACAAAAACTGGTAGGTTTCAACTATTGAATAATTTACTGTTTGTAGAGTAATATACAAAAACTGGTAGGTTTCAACCAATGAATAATTTATTCATCGTAGAGTAAAATACTAAAACTGGTGGATTTCAACCATTAAATAATTTATTGTTGGTAGAGTAAGATACTAAAACTGGTGGGTTCCAACCATTGAATAATTTATTGTTGGAAGAGTAAAATACTAAAACTGGTGGGTTTCAACTGTTCAATAATTTATTGTTGGTAGAGTAAGATAATAAAACTGGTGAGTTTCAACTGTTCAATAATTTATTGTTTGAAGAGTGCTACACAAAAACTGTTGGGTTTCTATTGTTGGTAGAGTGCTATACAAAAACTTGTGGATTTCAAGTGTTGAATAATTTATTGTTGGTAAAGATCTATAAAAAACTGGTGGGTTTCATTTGTTGAATACTTTATTGTTGGTAAATTGAAATACAAAAACTGGTGGGTTTGAACTGTTGAATAATTTATTGTTGGAAGAGTGCTATACAAAAACTTGTGGATTTCAAGTGTTGAATAATTTATTGTTGGTAAAGATCTATAAAAAATTGGTGGGTTTCAACTACTGAATAATTTATTGTTGGTAAATTGAAATACAAAAACTGGTG